CTTTTGTGCATGCAACAAGCAGAGGAGCTTTCAGTCCAAGCCAGGCGCCTTCCTCCTGCCCCGGGGGGTCCATAAACCAGCTGCACTGTGCTTACCCAGCCCCCCCAGTTGTTCCCAACCTCGGGGAAGGCTTTCCCCCTTGCTTGCACAGATGAGCTGCTCTCAGGCCAAACTGGGACCCACTGGCCTGTACCAGGAGCCTTTTGTGCATGCAACAAGCAGAGGAGCTTTCAGTCCAAGCCAGGCGCCTTCCTCCTGCCCCGGGGGGTCCATAAACCAGCTGCACTGTGCTTACCCAGCCCCCCCAGTTGTACCCAGAGACTCCCACGAGTTATGGGCTCTTTCTCCAAAAGCGAGCAACAGCCACCTCCCCTGCCATTTGCACCCTGAGCCTGCAACACCATGCAGTGAGCGGGGGATCCCATTTAAACCACTTGTCTGTCCCCCTGCCTCCTCTTCTCCACTCCCTAAGGGCTTTGCTGTAGTGGGCAGCCTCAGGAGACCGAGCTCCGCTCAGCAAACCGGTCCTTTCCCTCTGCAACAAGGACAGGAGCGGAGCAGAGGTGCCGAAAAGCACCAGGACAATGCTCTGTGGCTCCCACCTGAAGGGCTGAGCTCTGCCCTGCCTGTGGGAGCCGCGTACCACATCCCAACCAGCATCTGCAGAGGCGGGGAGTAGCGCTCTCAGCTCTGCCAGGGAGGATGTGATGGCACAGAGATGGTAAAAGCTCATCCAAGAGCAGGGCTGGCTCGTGCCCGCGCTGGGAACAGAACTACCCGACATCTCTCGATGCGTAGCACTCAACCACAAGACTGTCTTTCCTTCCTGTGCAGATACACACCTACACTTACATATACATATGCACACGTTTGCTTGCATGGGAGTGTCCATGCAAAGAACTCAACTACTGAACCCAACGGCTTCCCGCAGCTTCGCCATCACACTCTGAAACGCTGCTAAATTTACTTAGGCAACTGGCTGGAGAGAAGTCAGAGTTGTTAAGCACTCAGCTCCCGCCGGCGTGCTGCTCATCTACAAGCAAAATCCCACCCCACCTCCTGGGGCTGGTTGTGTTTCTGTAGGTACAAATACTGCGAACACCGACATTTCTCCCACCCTTGTTCAAGACCCTTCTTGCAGCAACATGCCTGGGTGAGGGAGCAGAGCACAGCCCAGCTCGCACAACCCGGGAGGAGTTTGGAGAGGGCATGGCCGCCACGGCTTTAACACATCATTGCTCCAGCCTGTGAGACCCTGGATTTCTTCTGCACTGAAGCTACTGTCAGCTTGCATAGGCTGGGGCAAATCTGACCCAGCGTTTGGCAGCAACGGGCGATGGAAACGAGCTCTCTCCTGCCTCGAGGCAGGTGGAAAGTTATCCAGAGTTGAGCTTTGTCGTGGAATGACGCAGCCCGACCTGCTGACGTCCTGTCTCGGAACTGAAGGCGGGTGGAAAAACAGCAAGGTGCAAACTCCCTTCCCCTCCGAAATGTCACTCTGGGCAAAGCCGCTGTGGAGACTACATCCCCAGCATCCCCGCAGCCACTGCACGAGGGTTTGCAGCTCCCTGTACCCCCTTGCACAAACTTTCTAGGAAATTGCCGTTAAAATTAGGGTCTCTGTGGCCTCAGCATAGTCGCTGGTGATAAAGATCTGGCAAGATGAGCGCTACACGTGTTCATGCTGATGCTTTTGGGGCTGGCAGCATGCCTGGGCTCAGGACCCAAAGCCTGGGTGCAGGGAGGTGCTGTACAGGGGAGCACAGCCGCCCTTTGCGGGGATTAGCAAGGGGAATTAGGCTCTGGCCTACTTTGGGATTTTCCCTTAATTCCTTCAGATATTTCTACAGTTTTAAGTAGCTGAGCATGGCTTGCAGGGCACATGTGCAACAAGTTTCTGGGGAGCAGCCAAAGGCTCTTGGCTGCAGAGGCAGTGGCTAAGCAGGAGCAGCCCAGCTCCTGCTGCTTCTCCTCCAGCCCCCTGCAACAAAACCTAATTTTTGAACAAAATATGTCCCCAGTGCCGAGCCCAGCACCTTCCCTGCAGCCTGTCCTGGGGGAAGCCCTATAAAGTAGAGAGAATAGATGCAAAGAGGTTTCTTTGCAGTGTTTCACAACTCATCTCCCAGACTCGCAGCGGCTGCCAAGTCCTGACGCAACATCTCCCCGTGTTTTGCATGTTTCTAGCTCAGGTCTTTCTTCTGCATCACAGCCCCCTGCTCCAACTGGCATTTCCAACCCCGGCACCGGCTCAAGAACCACAACAGGACGTTTAAATGACAACAAAAAAGGGGTCCCATCATTTGCAAAGGGAAAAAAAAACGACCAAAAATCAGTTAATTATTGTCGAAGCCAAGGTACAACCTGACGGATTCGACCAGACCCCGTCCCAGAGGCAGACAAAAAAAGCTTTGAAAGCCACGATGGTTTTGGTGAAGGGCTGAATGCAGGAGTCCTCTGTAAAGCTGCTAAGGGGGTGGGGGAGAGGGGAAAGCAGAGATTTTTTTAAAAGCACTGTGTTATTTCTGGCCAGACCATCAGGAGTTTTAGTTTTAAAATGGTCTGCCTTTACCTACCGACCCGCTGGCTGAACAGGAAGCAGAAATGCGGGTGCCTCGGCAAGCAAGAAAATATAAACTAAGTTTGGGTTGTTAATTGGGCATAAAAAAAACCCAACTGAAAACAACTAAAAATTAGATTTCTCCTTGTTTTCACCTTGAAAATACCTTTGAGCATTAACTCCCCCTGGCTTTGTTTTTTTTTAAAAGGAGACAATGAAGAGATGGAGAACTTCACCAAAACCAGCATGGAGACACCACCAAGTTGTTATTAATCTTAATATTTAACAATTCCTCTGTGGAAACCCCAGGGGGATGCAAGCATCCCTGGGCCCACTTTGCCCCTCACAGCCCACCCCCCCAGCCCCATGCCGGGGCTGTCCGAGATCCTCTGGGGACTCACTTTGAGCTGGGATTTGGAGACCTTGCCGCTCTTCTCCACGTCCAGGGCGGTGAAGGCGTACCAGATGGACTTCAGCAGCTCCGCTCGCAGGTCCATGGCTACAGGCGGCGATGGCAGAGGCGGCTGCGTCGAGGCCGAGGATCCGGTTCCAGGAAACCGCCTGCCCCGACAGCCCTGGGCGGCTGGGACGTGCGAAGCAGGAGCGCCATCTGCTTGGGTGCACCCTGGAGAAGCCCACGGGCCACATCTCGGCCCCACGGTCCGCAGGTGTTTTCTCCCCTCCCCGCGAACAAATCCCCCACACCCAGGGAAGAACAATCCAGGGATCACGAAACACAAACAGGGATTTGTATGTAACCCCTTTGCTAGCTCAGCCTAGAGATCAAAAGCTTTCTTGGCATTCGTGTTTTGCAGAGAGAAATCCCCTCCCTGATGCAAATAGCAGCTTCCTCTTCTGGGATTTAAATGAAGATCTTCCCCCGGCAGCAGGAGGCTTTTGGAAGGGCTCTAGCCCTGCTTGTTTCGGGATCAGTCCCACCCAGGAAGGCGAGCAGAGATGTAGCCTGCTGCAGCCCTCCTGGGTTATGCCCGTTCCTTGCAGTAACCTCTGCAAACTCCTCAGGTATATATATATAAAAAAAAAACCCCAAAGCAAAACACCTGATTGTTGGGAGCCTTGCGCTGGCATTCTGTTTACGGCTGGACTTGATCTTAAAAGGTCTTTTCTAACCTAAATGGGTCTGCCGTCCTCTCTGCGCTGGCTTTGCCCACAAACCGCCCGGGGCAGAGGTATGCAGCATTGGGGCTGAGGTTACTCCCGTGGGGCTGAGGAAGCCAGCCCGGGTCTCTGTCACCAGCCCAGAGGGTTGTAGGATGCGTTCACAGACACATTTTCTTGTATCGACACAATTGCCTCAATCTAGGCTTGCAGTTTGTGGAAGAGCCAAGGCCTGATCTGAGATTCAGGGGACAGCTCTGAGCCCCTCGAAGACACAGGCTGAGTTCGAGGCTACAACTTACCTTGCTCGCACCCCTGCTCAGTGCTGGTTTTGGACAATCACTGCACTTTCACTCAATTCAACAAATCTCCTAAAAGTCCTTAATAATTACACCTGCAAAAACCCACCCATCCGACCACTGGCCCCAGGGACTGAAATAGAGAAGTGTGCTTTTTTATTTTTTTTTAAAAAAGAAATGTTTTAATTTGTTTTTATTTCAACTCAGTATTTACATCCAAGGCTAGCTCAGCCCCCAACACATGCTGGTTGGCTTCAGTAGAGGAAGTGCTTTGCTCTGCTCCACAGCGCTGAGTCTGCCAAGGAAGCTTGCTCGAGAGCAGAGTGTGATAAAGAAATGGGAGAATTAACGTCGGAGCCAGCCCGGGTGCCTCGCTCCAGCAGCGGGAACTAGTCACCACTCCAGACACCGAACCCAGGACAGCCTGGGTTTGCTTTGATGGGGCTTTATTGCTTCTGTGCATATGCTGCCCACTTGTCCCTTACCTGGAGGGGTGGGCAGGAAAGGGGAGCTGCTGGACTATTCCTAGAGGGAGAGGGCAAGAAGGGCCTTTCCAAATTTTGCCCTCCAATTTTGCCCTCCTGGAGAGCGCTGAAATCTCTGTGGCTCTACCTCTACTGCAGGAGACTGGCAGGTCTTCGAAATCTTAGCCGTGAAGAAATAAATACTGGAAGACACAATTTGCCATCTCCTCCAGACAGAGGAGTCAGTGCCCAAGGCAAGGAGCAGGAAAGTTGCTGCTCAGAGCCCACGAAAACGGTAGAACCTCCAGGAGAAGGCAGCAGCCAAGCATCTTCGACATCCCTCCTTGGAGAGAAGAGGCCTTCGAACAGGGTCACTCCGGTAGCCCAACGCTGGTGGCACCAGCTCTCACCGCCTGTGCCGCGTGTCTCAAACACCTTCCCTTGCTCGTGTACCGCACTCCTGTGCGCCAGCTGGCGTGGTTCCTGCAGTTCCTGATGTCCCCACAGAGAACAGGCTGGGGCTGCCTGCTCTCCCTGCCCGGGACGTCCTGCGGACTCTCAGCACCCATTCTCAGACACGGCTGCCTCAAGTGGTACAGGTTCATGCTGGATTGCTGCTGCGGCCATGCTGATGGCTTCCTCCAGGCTCTGCTGCTCTTCTAACTGGTGGAGGAAAGAGAGAGAGATACAACACTGTCCTGCCTCCCAAAAGGTGAGCTCAGGAGGCGCAGGCTTGCTCAGGGCAGCTCCCAGCAGGACAGAGGTGCGAGGGATTGGCAGTGGGTGACACAGGGGAAAGCGGCAGGGCAAAGCAGAGAGACACAGCCACGATGGGGAAAGGCTGTTTACAAAGGAGCATTCTGCAATCCAAGGAGCACATCCCTGCTCTCCTCTATACACAGGGCATCTGGGAATTAGGGAGCAGGCACCCTGGGCAAGAGGAGATGCAGTAAGTGCTGAAGCCAGCGGGTTGTGGGGGGAGTGAAGGGGAAGGTGGAAGGAGCTGTGTGGTACCTGCACTGCGATGTGGGTGCCATTGGCGGTAGCCAGCAATGCCACCTGCTGATGACAGAGGGACGTGATGGCTGACTCTTCAGACATGACTGCCCCAGAAGTGACTATGGTAACCTAGGAAAAACAATTACGTATTAAAAGAAAATGCAATTCCCTTCTAGGAGGCTGTTTCTCCACAGGGAAAAGGGAAGGTCCCAGTTTTGCCTGTACCGGCTGCATCTCGGTGCCATCCGCGTTGGCCACAGTCACGGTGTGTGTGTCGCCACCTGCCAGCTCTTCCTCGGGCACGGCGAGGGCATCGCTCTGCGTCACCATGCTGATTGCACTACCCAGGGCCTGCAGATCTTCCTGCGACAAACCGACCTGGGCAGGAATAGAAGCAGATGCTTTCAGCCAGGATGGCTTCTCAGGAAGCCTTACGCAACTCCTGAGTTTAGCAACACAAAGGTCTCAGTAAGGATGAAATATTCCCTCCTCCTCTGCATGCAAGACCTAGGGCACAGAGAACTCTAAGGACTGCCCAGGATTACGGACAGAATCGACACAGAACTCGCAGACATTGAGTCTTCAGCCCTACTCCATTTTCCCTTCCCCTTTAGCATCTTCTCTCTGGGCTTTGAAGTGACAGCTTCTGCATTGCTGCAGCAGGGAGCATCTCAGACTAAGAGGAAACAAGTGTTACTCGTGGCAGCTGTTTCCTTTGCCCCATGCCACAGAAGGGAGTTTTTCCTAGTCAGCACACAGGCAGCTCGTGGAGGGAAGTACAAGAAAAGTACTGGCTTATAAAATGATGAAAAAACAATCTTCAAATACAGCCTGTGTCAGCAGTGATTGGGAGCTGCCTCTCGACAGCTGGCTGGGAGGCAAGAGCTGCGACATGTGAGCCTGGGCAAACGCCTGCTAGACCCTGTCCAGCAAGAAGGCAAGTCGTGGAGCACAGGCCGATTCTTCACCCTCCACATCAGGACTGCAGCAGTGAGGTAAGGTTGTAAGGAGGGAGTCCTCATGACCGACAGAGCCCTCAAAGCCCCAAGGTCTGTTTTACACTGGAAAAAAGCCTTAAAGAGAAGACCAAGGCCGAGTACAGGCAGATTCTTACTCAGTTAACTGCTGTCCCCCACATGCTGGCGGCTGTCAGTGTCCATACCTGCTCTGTCCCATCCTGAGAGATAAGTGAGACCTGCGTAGGCATACCATCGTCATCTTCCTCTTCCTCTTCCTCCATCTCTGACAGAAAAGCAATATGCTGGCTCTTCAGGGGGGAGCCTCTGTCACCAACAGCAGCTGAGTCAGGGATGGGGAAGAGCAAAAGGGGTGAGAGAAGTGTGAATCAGAGTGTGAAAGCACATGCCTGACCCTGGGACCTGCCTGTTCCCTGAAGGGCCAGCACAGAAGAGCACAAGATCATGACGACAACAGCCCAGTGCTGGCCTGGGAAGAATGGTCTTTACCCCTGCCTGTACCACAGGATGGGCAGGAGTCCAATCCCAACCTGTGACACACACTGAGGACCATGGGGAGCCCTTTAGTCTCGTCTGTGACACAGATCTGGGTGATTGGGGAGGCAGGAGGCCACAGCAACAGACCTGGGTCTGAGAGGGGAGCGGCCACAGTCTCTTGCTGTTCTCTCTCCCCATTGCTACACAGCCTGACCCAAGCCTGCCACGGGTGGTAGCAGAGTGGTTGCTCACCCTCCAGCTGCTGCTGTTCGTAGAGGGCCTGTTCGCTCTCCTCCGTGGCCTCCAGCTCGCCGTGGCTGCTGCGCTTGTGCATGGCCAGCGTGGAGGTCTGGCGGTAGGTCTTGCCACAACTATTGCAGGTGTAGGGCTTGCAGTGTGTGTGGACCACGTGGTGCTTGTAGAGGCTGGAGTACTCCGTGAAACGCTTTCCACAGCCCGGCACGGTGCACAAGTACGGCTTCTCTCCTAGGGCAGAGGCCACAGAGCAGAGCTTAACCCACTCACCCTCCTCACACTCTGGGAAGGGATTGTCCATCAAGAGAGAATAGCTGGAGACAGACCACTGGAACAATAATCAGCCTAATAAAGCAATTCCTATTTCCTCTAACTCCCTGGCTACCCCCCAGACCTGCCCCTGCAATGCCTGACCTGGGACTGACCATTTGAGTCACGCAGATTTCCCCAGTGCCACACGTTCCCAACTGACTGGGGAGGAGCTGTCTGTGTTTCACCCTCTCCTCCTCTTACCTGTGTGGATTCTCATGTGGTTCTTGTAGTTGGTGGCACTGGTGAAGCCCCTTCCACAGTTGGGCTCCGGACACATGTACGGCCGCTCGCCTGTGTGCGTTCGGATGTGAACCTTGCGGATGTTGGATGTGGTAAAAGAGCGGCCACAGCCCACAAACGGGCACTTGAAGGGACGCTCACCTGCATTGGCAGAGGAACGTGGATGAGAGTCCTGCTACAACACAGCTACCTGGAATGCCCTGGACACCTGTATCCCTTCACAGCTCTACAGTATTACACCAACGAGACTTCAGATCAGACCCAATTGCTGGCACATTTCCTCTAGCAACACTGGCATCTCTACCCCTGTTGCTCTGCTGTTCGTAACTGAGTCGAGAATCCCTAGTACTACTACGAGTCATCTACTTCTGTCTGAAGACAACTTTGGTTCTGCCTTGCTTCACCTAAGATACAAAAAGGCATATCCTGGACAAAGGCTGAAGCGATCCTTTATCTTGGAGACCCTTTCAATGGGGAGCTCAGTTTTCTCCTGTACTGCTCACCTGTGTGTGTCCGGATGTGTTTCTGTAGATCCCCAGAGGTTTTGAAAGCTTTGCCACACATGTCTTCTGGACACTTGTACGGTTTCTCACCGGTATGTGTTCTCACATGGCTCTTCAGCCCATACCCTGTCCAGGAAAAAAAAAAAAACCAAAACAATTAAATTTTAAAACGAGAAGGAAATAATATGGCAAGCTGGGAACCACCTCTCAGTTCATGCATTTTTGAATGTCTGTCCAGTGTCTGCAGAGGTGAAGGGGAAGAAATATCCAAACAGCCTCACAACATCACTGACAACTCAGCTTCTTCCTAGAACTCATTTAATCCGTCCATAATCAAGTACCAGGCAGTCTCACATGCTACAATTCCTTCTCAGAAGGCTTTAAAAGCTATGTCCATTGTGCTCTGCTGGGAAAAAAAAAGCCAGGGCTGATACTCAAGGGTGGTTTGGACTGGACAGAAAAGAAAATTTGCTCTAAAGAAAAACTGTTACCTGTAGCAAATGCTTTCCCACAGCTTGGGAAGTCGCAGGTATATGGCCGATCACCTGTGTGAGCACGTTCATGTACCTGGAAAAGAACAAACAGGTCCCTAAAATGAGGTCCAAGACAAGGAAGAAGGAAAACAGCATGGAGAAATCGAGCTGGTGGAGAGAATCTGAAGTTCTCTGTTGGATTTCACCTTGGCCAATTAACACATCTGGATCTTTTGGGGAGCCAAGCACACAACTCAGCCTTTTGTATAGCAGCATTCTGATCTGGCACTATAACATGGGGATGTGTCTGGTCTGCACGCTGCATGACTGCATGCTACCTGCTTTACCTTTAGATGGTGGGCAGTGGTATAGAGGCGGCCACAGCCTTTGTATCCACAACGGAAAGCTCTGCTGCCAACCTGCTGCCCCTTCTCATTGCTGTGCACTTCCTCCTCCTGCAAATCCTGCTGAGAGACATACACAAATTCAGTGAGCCACTACAGCAGGCTTTGCAAAGCCCACACAAATCGTTTCCCTCCTTGCCTTACATATGCACTCCTTCGGTTATCCTCACAAAAACATGTTCCTACAAACACAGCTTGTGCACATATGGTAAAACTCAGGTGACAGGGCAGGGGTCTAGGAACCAGGATTTCCCATTCCCACCTCCAAACTCACTGGGTGTTCTCAGACACGTAACTCACCTCTTTGTGCTTCACTTAGCTCGATTGTAAAACTTGCAGCTAATATGTTTGCTAATCTTGCAGAGAAGCCACAAAGCTTTTTTAATTACTAGCTGGCAAAGCGCTCTGCATCAAGAGGAGTTTGGCCTAGTTTCAGGAACGCATCACTGAAAAATTCAGACCTGGGAAAGGACGTTGCTGGAATCCTCACTCTTCATATGGCAAGTGTCTGTCACTCCTTCCTCTTCCTCATCAGACACCTAGAAGCAAAGAGGCACAGGTACTGTTTATACCTCCCTGTACAGCATGGAGCAGGTGAACAACCCAAGCAGAAAGGCATTCACATCAGCAGTGCCACCCCACTCTTCTCCAAAGAGCTAGGGACGGCTGGTCCTACCACAGCAGAAAGCTTGCCATTGGCAAATCTGAACGGTGCCCAGCTGAGCACTGTGTCAGCACACTCCTGGTAGCCCCTTCTCACACCACACCATGAAGATGGGAGAAAACGGCAGCACCCAAGACATTCAGATGGAGCACTGCAGTGACAACACATTAGGATCTGAAGCTATTTTGGTTTATCAAGGCCTTTGTCAACAAGGGGAATAGTGGCCATAACTTAGTCACTCCTGACACATAAAGGGTTTGTCTTGATCTGCTGCCTGAATCATCTGTGGAAGAGAATATCGTGCCCAGGTGGCATTACAAGAAACCTAGCAAACAGAAAGAAAACATCCTCAAGGAGGGACATAAAAAGCAAGAAAAAAAAAGCTCTATCACAGCAGCTCTCTGCTCTTTCCAAATCTGTGCCTGCAGCAGGTTAAGGTTAAAGGCCTGGCACTCTGTAGGAACTATAGAGGGTCCAGCGGGAAACTGCCCCATTGTAGGTCCTTAACTGTCAGCCACCTGTCAGTGGTGGCACTCTCACCCTCTTCAGTTTCTCCTCTCAAAGCTGGCACTGCTGAACAACAAATATACAGAAGTACTAATGAAGGGAGGACACTTAGACCCCAAGCCAAACGTGGACTACTGCACCAGCCCCTCAGTGCTGCTGGCAGACCATGAAAGAAGCGTTGCGTCCTCACCTTACTGGCGTACTGCTTTAATGCATTCATGGTCTCGACATCAAAGGCATCGTCTTCCTCCTCTCCAGCCAACTCCTCCAGCCCAGTTTCTGCCTGCACTTCCAGGATGGTGCTGCCAGGTGGCATGATGACAGGATGATGTATATAGGCAGTGGAGCCATCCTCCAGCTGGACAGCCTCAAAGGTGCTGGGCTCATAACTTTCTGCAAGAGGAAACCAATAAAATCAAATGTAAAAAAGCTGCTGAGTGCAAGGCACTCTTCATCTCCCTGGGCTACCTACAGCCTTCGAAGTCTACGAGAGTTTAGCAGCTTCTGCTCCAGCTGCCAAGGGAAGAACAGGAAACACTCTTTACCTTTCACTGTGTTGTGTATGTAGGCCATACTGCCATCTTCCAACACTACTGGCTGAGCATCTTCAAAAGCCACAGACTCTAAAAAAAGAAAAGAAAAAAATCCACACACCTTACTGGAAGACTTGGATGGGATGGAGGAGATACTGCACCAGTTCCTGAACCCTACAGTATTCACACCCACATAAGAGGACACAGCAGGGCTGCCTGCTTGCACTGAAAGTCAACCACAACTATAGGTTTTAAGACACTATTTGAGCCCTTCCCACATGAATTATGAGGGTTTTAAGGCTTCGTGCATAGCTTCATTGCACTGCTTTAGGTGCAACAGTACAACAACACTACTACTACAATGTAGTATTTCAACAATTCCAAAATGCCAGGTTATGTCCCAGACAAGATGGGTAAAGTGTGTAAAGTGAGCGTGTAAAGGAGCACAAACATCCCATGGCATGGGAAGCAGAGGTGAGAATGAAAACCCCTCTCACTCTGTGTGTGTGTGTGTGTGGAGGTGGGGAAGAGGATGAAGGGAGGAAAGGGGCACAGCCAGGCATAGAATGTGGGTTTCAAGCGACTTTTTGAGAACAGAAAAGGGAGGTGGCATACAAGGAGCTTGGAAGGGTGAAGAAGGACTGCCCAAAGCAAGAGAGCTCTTTCTACCCGCCCTTTTATATCTTATCCTGGTCAGGGAGAATCCCTCTGTGCCACTCTGGTGCATGCCACATGAAATTAATTCCCATCACCTTTCAGATTAATGTCACCTCATTTCAGAGGTGACATTGGCTGAGGGGTCAGTGACCAAGATGGCATTGCTTCCAGCAGTGTCGTCCCCCCCCGCCCCCAAACACCTATTCCAGAAGTAACATATTATGTTATGGTTTAGAGGAAATTTCTGTCCAACTCCTCCCATCTGAAACAAACTTTCTTTGGGCTCTGTAGTTGGCAAAAACACAGCACACAGCTTACTGGCCTTGCTTGTAGACTTGTGATCTGTCAGACTGACAGCTGTAAGAGAGCCCACAAGTGAAACAACACTGAAACATTTGCTTACACCACCAGCAAGCTTGCCTTCTTGTCAGGTTGCTAAAAACTTTGCAGGAAATCACATGTTATATGTCCTTGCTCATTCAGCCTCAAAAACACCGGCAAGAAAAAAACCCACCACACCTATACAGACTTCTTAAAGCTAGAGCTAATAAAGGAGCCTGACTGTTGGAACACAGACAACTGCAGTTACATCTACAAAATCCTTCTAAAAAGAAAGAGCTGAATTCATGGTTCTCACCTTTCTGAACTGTCACCTGATGGATGTAAGCTGTGGTCCCATCTTCAAGTTCAATGACTTGCCCTTCAATCAGTTTTTCACCTGAAACAGTTAAAAAATTGCCATCAGCACTGCCTGCAGAGTCCAGTCTGTCTGGTGCCATCAGCTGTCCCCTTTTCAGCATCTTCTCAAGGAAACCAGTCCCACAGAAGACAGCAAAACTGTTACTTATAACTGTTATTTATCAAGCTTTTCCCTGAATAGCCACAGAGGCACTTAACTTCCCAGAAACGCTGCAGCCTCCCTTTCCTAAACAGGAGGATACAAGACAAAGAACCTCAGTCATCACTTGTTTACAAGCTGCACTTCACAGCCCTACAAGCCAAGAAGCAGAAAGAATGATGTGTGCTAAGCGTTTTGGATCTAAAGTAGAAAGCAATTACACTTGTGCTGGAGAAAAATTCAATTAGGAGCTTTTAACGGCATCAGCAGGGGCCTGAAGATTTATTTTCTTCTACTTTGGTGGAGGATCAACTCTTGGAAAAAAATTACAGGACCTTAAGGGACCTAAAGTGTTGCTACCCTTGATAGGTCGTGAAGACTGGACTCTTAAAATAGCGTAACTCTGAATAACCCTTAATAATGTTTTAGTTATCAAATTATTCGATGCAGAGAGGACATTGCTCTATCCCACTTGAACAGGAGGAATCCAGGTTGCTTTCACCTGGTGCAAAATATTTTTGGTCACAAAACCTAGTGGTTTTCAAGGCAGTCCAACTCCGCACGTGTAATAAACTTGCAGTGAGTTCACACAGAAAAGAAAGCAAGAGAGCTATCCCCAGGACACAAAGCCTCACAGCTCAACCGTCCTGTTGCTGTTCCTTTTTTTGGGAATGGGGTGGTGAAAGAAGCAGTACCTCACAAACACCAAAATAAGGGAAAGTGTTGAATTTGGCACTGATATCACTTCAGTTAAAGGGGTGCTGAGCTTGGTGTTGGTCAAGTGAGAAAAGCACTACTGTGAACCAAATTCTACGTGTCTCAGTGAAGTAAAACATCCTGCTTAGCTTCAGGGGAAATTTTGGCTGAATAGAGTCCTGCAGGCCATAGTGTGAACTCCATTTCCCCAGTTACCCCACAGAGAACAGGGCTCACTCTAGTCTACACAGAACCTTTATTTTCTACAGCAACAACTCTCCCACCTCCAAAGCTTTATTTCCAAAACAGAGACATGTTTTATTTCTGCTGCATTCTGTGCAGATCTAACAGATAATTGCTAGCTTCCTGTACAAAGTGACCATGCAAGATGCATGATATTTCACGTGCCATGAGGGCACTTTTGATAAGTTCGACTTTAATTTCACAGGCTCAGTCAAGAGACTTAAACTTTGCAGCCCAAAAAGGAACTGTTACCTTTGACAGCCTGCTGAATGTAGGCTGTCGTCCCGTCACTAAGGGTCACTGCTTGCAAGCCCAAGCTCTCCATCCTGCCCCAAAGACTGGTCCTCAGACATGAATTTCACTTCACTCGGCGTGCTCGCAGAGAGCACCGAGACCCAGAGGAAAAGATTTGTGGAACAGCGAGTTGTCTTCTTTGTTGCAAGCCTTAAATAAAAAGAACAATTCAAATTTTATTTTCTCTCAACATATGTATACTCACTTTTGGACATTAAAAAAATGCTTGAATGGCAAACTATTTTGGAGATTATAAAGGATTAAACTGGACAAAAGATGCAGCCTTCCCATACCAATGGCAGGCGGGGCTAACAATCTATTCCACAGACAAATATAAAATAAAGCTTATCGAGGCAGTGAACCGATAGACTCTTTTAAGAGATAATGTAAATGTCACATTCAAATCCCTCCCATCCTCCAAATGATCTGCAGTAAAGGTTTCCGAGTACTTTAAAGTCAGAACCTACAGGTGAGAGTGTCCTGACAAGGGCAGGACGATGAGCTTTGTCCCTGGAAGCATCTTCATTCTCTCCTCCCTTTCCTGTCTAATTCCTGGCCTTCTGAGGAACAGAATTTTAGGCTATAAGCAGATGATGTTGAAACATTCACCTCCCCCCATGAGAACATTTTGCTAAAGAGGCACTCTACTGATAGATTATCTTTAAAAGCAGCTGCAGTGGATTCTTCATGATAGCCTAATATTTTATCATTTTGATTTCCAGAAACAAGTCTGACTGCTCTGTCACTGCAAGCACCCAGGGATGCAGCCAGGCTTCGTGCCACACTTAGTGCCCTCTAACCTGAGTACTCCCTACACCCCACAAACAGCTCTGCCCAGCTGCAGCAGACTCTGCCCGCTTTTAGGGCTGACGCCTCCTGAGAGGTATCACAACTCCTTTCCCAGCAAAGGCTCTGTCCCAGCAGGGTCGCTGGTGCATCACTGGGGAATCAAGGCCCCTTTGAGCTGCTATGGCTGCACTGCTGGAGGGGCCGTGACCCCCTGGAAGGGATGGGGCAGGTGCTGCCTGAGGAAAACCAGGTGTAGGCTGCGGTGCGAAGCTACCCAGGGGATGACAGGGGACGTGCCGGGGACAGCGCAAGGCAGGGCCTGGCACCATGGCGAGCCCTGAGGGGAGCGGCGGGGCAGGCCCGGCCCAGGTGCCCTGGGGGTGGCGGGGAG